CTAAACAAGAGGCTGAGGTGCCCGCAAGGACTCCCTAATTTAGAACTGTGACCAGGGGTCGCAACTTGAGGAACCTCTTTGCCTCTGTCATCTGGTAATGTCCCTTTTTTACTTTCTTAAAACTAGGCAATTCAAAAGGAGAAAATGCAGCAAACTGGCTAACCGCAAAAAGTGGCAGAAAGAAACGATGCCCCTATACCAAGCACCAAACTCTCGAGCTGGAAAAGGAGTTTCTATTCAATATGTACCTGACTCGTGAGCGTCGCCTAGAGATCAGCCGCACAGTCCACCTAACAGACAGACAAGTTAAAATCTGGTTTCAGAACCGCAGAATGAAACTGAAGAAAATGAACAGAGAGAATAGAATTCGGGAGCTCACAGCCAACTTTAATTTTTCTTGATAAACCTATAAGCACATTTTTTTATGGTTTAAAGAGCCAGTATCATTTTCCTAGGCTTTAGTAATCTGCACCTGTATGGATTAAGGATTTTATACATTCTCAGTATGTCCATAACTTCTTTATAGCTATTTCTGGGGGGGAAAGCCATAATGATGCATAAAATTCCGTGTGTGCCGCCCTTGTTCCATTACAATTCCCTTGATGTTATTTGCTTCTTTAACCTTGAAACAGAGACATATGATTTCAAGAGCTGCAAATATATTTTTTTCCTCTTGAAAAAGTAAGCAAACCCGGTTAAAGGCGCGTTACACTTTTAAACGATAAAAAGGTATATGTGAACCGTGTGTAGCTTAATAATGAATAATTGAAGCCTTGCCATAGTTCTATGTAATGGGAGATCAACTTTTCCCCCTCCAAATGGCAGGAGTTCCAATAATTAAATGCAGGCATGCTTTAAAAGAAGGGCTTCAGGGGAACTGGTGTTAACCTCTGTTTTCTTTTCCTTTTCCTTTAACATAACAACCAATATCTGAAGCTTTAAAATTGGCCAGGAAAATGAGACCTTTTCTCTTTAAGGATATAAAAGATCTCGTGTTGCTTATGGACTAAATTATTACACTTACCTCTGAATTTCACCCACTCTGTCTGGTTGTAGATATTGACCATAATGTAGTTTTGCTTAAATATGTGGAATTAGTGGATTTTTGTCTATACATGACGTTACCGCTGGTAACGCATGACAAGCACACAACAATCCCCCCCTGTCTTGAGAAAAAAAATAGTCCCTTTTGCTAGCTAAGTTCATTGAACATCAGAAGGACTTGCTGAGCCAAAGAGCGAGGGAGAATGTGTCCGTCTATCCTTTATACTGTGAAGTTACATGCATTAAAAAGGTCAAACGTGTAGGTGCAAAAAGAAATAAAGAAGGGGAAAATATAAATACAGATATGTATAAATGTCTATTATTATAAAAATGACGATACTGGTTTAAGCAAATGCATTCTATCATTATTATAAATGTTAGTTCTAGCTCTATCTAGTACTTACCTTAAATCGGAATAAATTAATATTGTAATGCTGCTGTGCGTGAAAAGACGATGTTTATGTTCTCATAGAAGAATAAAAGACGTGGAATGAATCCTTTTAATTTTACCTCTTTTTGTGACTGTTTATCCTCAGGTTCTACTTTATGTCTTCAAGAACTTTTACAACAGGAATAGTTGCCTAAACACCCTGCAATTACTTTAGGAATCTATTTAAATATTACCTAGACGGTCGTAATTTGTCTGGGCCATATAGCAATGGTGCAGTAAGGTTTGTCGGCTTTTGTTCAGTTTTATGACTTGCTAGTATATCTGGATTGTTGCTGTCTTGGACGAGTGGTTTCAGTTGAGTGAGGAGCTGCATAGACAGAGGAAGCAAATTACTATTTCTTGAGTGTAGCGTATTGATTTTTTTTTTTTTTGAAAAATAAAACACCTTGAAATATGCTGATGTTTTTGACTCCAAAGGACGGTGAAAAATCTAGCTTTAGCAGATGGCTCAGAAGAAAATCATAAAGGTGAGCACATGTAAATGAGGGTATTAAGGTCTTGTTCTTCTTATCAAACAGGTCCTAGCCACTTTTACACATCTGTATCCTCTGCCTTTCTACCTGTCTGCATGTTATCAGGCTTATTTAATATGCTTTTTCTTTCCTTGCTGCATGTTTAAGTATTAAAGAGTTTTGCACTAGGGGGAAACAAAATATAGGGCCTGAATAACGGCTACAGCTAATTCTTTCTTTCGGGGGGAGGGGCGGCGGAGATAGACTTAACCCGGGCTTATGGCGAGTCTTTAGCTTTTTATGATCTACCATTACGGCGCACGGCTTTTCTTCACTTTTTCATGTGCATGGAGAATTAGAAGAAAAACTCACACGAGAATATTCCCCCCTCCCCCCCCCCCCACACACATTTTAAAAAATCCTAGCCAGATTGGAGTCGGTGACCGGTGTAGGCTGTGGGGGAGCGAGGGGAGGTGGAATGTTTTGGTCACATTTCTGGTTTTATTTTTATAGCGGGATCCTTGCGTAAGGAACACGGCTATGGGGAGCGTAATAATTAGAGCGCTGAGAACTGTTCTGTGGTTTAGGTAGTTTCATGTTGTTGGGGCTCCACCTTTCTCTCTGCAGCACGAAACTGCCTTAATTACTTCAGTTGAAATCATCACCAGGTATGATAGTGCGAGTTGGTTTACTACCGAAGAAATCTTACAGCTGAAGCTATCTGTAGGCGTCAAGTCCCAATGCCATTGTTTCCTATCAGCAACGAAGGTTCATTCACTTCCCAATAAACATTGCAGCCAAGGGGGAAATCTTGGGGAACTCTTCAAGGTTAGCTAGTTCTTGAGTAAGCCTGCTTGCTTATGGAATTTTTAAATATATCTTGTCGTCTACATTCAAGGTCAGGTGCGCTTTACATTCTGCTCAGCAATTGTTCTGTTGTTGTTTTTTTTTGGGGGGGGCTGGATTTTTTAAATGCGTTACAATTCAATTGCGTGCCAATATTCATACAGTCTGTTATCCTGAGTCCTTGCAATGTAGCGTCAATATAAGTAAGCAAAGGTAGCGACTGCAACCAGACCAGAGACGGAGTCTCATTTTTTTGTTAAGATATTTTATGTCATTGTGTCACCTTTTTTTTGCCTGCACACTGTTGTGTTATTTCGTGTCCATCTCAGCCTTGAGTGTATCTAAAATCTAAGTCTGCTTCTACATATGTCCAGGGATTAATCATATATTACACAAAAGGACTTTACCGGAGGTGAAGGGGTAACCAGAAGTGATTTAAAATCGGCCAAAACCCATTTCCCTATAGCTCACAAGGCCTCGGTTACGATCATTATTACAGTGTGTCCAGGCGCCGACATTCCATTGAGGCTGAATGAGCAACAGCGACCTCACTGGGCCTTGTGCAGGGGATCTAGGGCTGCCGGCTATTGTGTACATAGACCAAACAGAAATAGGAGCTGCAGCCCTTGTTTAGATCACAGGCACAACATTTATCCTTAACGTACATGATCAAGATTTCTTCTGGCTGCAAGGACTTGGGAAGTATTTGAAAATTGAATATCCTTTTTGATCATTCGTTTTTAAACTTTTCAGGGCTCATATAGGCTACAGTGAATAAAAATAGTTTGGAAACGGGATTTTCACGGGTTATGTAGATGTGTTATAATTAAATTCTCATAGGAAGGGATGCATTTACAAAGAAAGAGTCAAACCTTTAAATTGCAGACATATGACTCTGAGTGTATATGTCTGTATACACTCTGTATGTATGACGATGTATACTTATGTCTATCTATCTATCTATCTATCTATCTATCTATCTATCTATCTATCTAAGTTATAGTGTGTGTACATAGGCTTGCCTCTGCTTTATTTAAAATTTTCAGTATATAATTTTCATTTCATGAGCACTTATCTCAAGTTCTATACAAATTTCCATTTTAAAATTTCTGGAACTGGTTAGTTTTCAATGGAAATAAGTTCTTTAAGAGGCGATCCAGCAATTCCCATTCAATCAAGACTGAAAATTCCTACAGACTATTTATCCAAATGCCAAAGCCTATATGCAAGCTCTATAGTGCATTAATAGATAAATTGCATTTACTATTTCCCTTCAGTTAAAAATAGCAATATCCTTTCTGTTACATTGGATTTAAAAATCGTATCTAAATTGCAGTTTTAGAGTTCTGATTATACAGGTATGGAGGACAGAACCATTTTTAAAATTACTACAGATAAACTGTTTCTCTTCTAAATACCCCGAGATACCATATACACAGACCAATTTTATATTAATTTTTCCTGGTGGTGACTAACTGTCTACGTGATTATGTTTCTTATAGTTTAAAATTATTTGTGATGCAAACTATATCAAATTAATAATTTCAATACCCTGATTATCAGAACTTAAAATTGATTAAAAAAACTCGCCATAAAAGGGAAAAAAAGAAAGGAGAACATATTGAGTGTGTTAGTCAGAAACCTGCCTGAAAATAGCGTTATTTATTATGTATTATTATTTTAACTCTAGGTGTCTTTCAGTCTCCTAATGCTCCTTTAATCCTGCAGCGAGCAATTTTCGGAATACATAGGGTGTTTAAGAATCTGCCATATTATTTTACATTCTGTCTATGTATATAAGTGTGAGCAATCAAAAATGAAACACGCTGCAGCTTCAGTACCCAAATTCTAACATAAACATCCAGGACTCCTGGAGTTAAGATTATTTTTCTTACTGGAAAAAGGAAGTTCTGCAATCACATTTCACCCCAGTTGATTCAATAATAAATACAAATGACGTGGAGTTCCGTCTTTCAGTAATAGACATAGACTTCTTTTTCTATCGCGGTATGTCAGTACATGCATGAAAAAAAAAAGCTATAATGAGTACATAGAACTTTATTTGCATTAAAAATGTTGTAAAAGAACGGATTGCCATTCGCTTGGGCAATCTCTAGGGGTTTTTTTTGTTTGTTTTTGTTTTTTTAGGTTTTCTGACTAATGTATTAAATAATAGTTTCATATAGCTCTTGTGATTTCAAATCAGGATAGAAACTGTTGTTAAAAATTACATCTCTGTAAGCTTCCTGGTGTAATTGGGAAAAGTTGAAAAGAAACAAAAACAGAGCGCGCGAGAGAGACCAAATAGTGATGTAAAACTAATGAGAAACATATTTTTGCATGCAGAATATTCACACATGAATTTAATTATTACGCAGTTGCTCTGCCGTTTGCTGGTCTCTATGCTGAATAATATTTTTCAAATGCAGTTGACAGAGATGTTTTCCCCCTCCCATTGGTCTCTTTTTCCTTGCAACAACAGGAAATAAGCAGCACACACATAAACAGAAGAAGATAATTAAATCAATTGTCATACTTTCAAATGTTTCAGCCATTAGTTTAATTCATAACACTGGACTTGATCTGGGAGCCGTATCACTTTTTTTTTGTATAGGACTGTAACCCTCCGCTTAGTTTTGATGCTGTAGTCTGTGCACAGAAGTCAAAGAACGTGCCAGCAAATACCTAGATTTGCACATAAATTTGATTAATCAGAAAGTGATACAACATAATGCAAGTGCCCTTTTTACAGTACAACTGAGAAGAAGGGTGCCTTTCGGCAATGAGGAAGAGAATGTTTTCCCCCCTGCTGCTTTGGTGCATATTTAAGAATTAATCGTCTTGATAAACACTCCTCCCCCTCCTCCTCTTTCCTCTCTCTTCCTCTCTTGTTCTGGTTTAGCTCCGTTCTAGATATAATATTAGCTACATTTCAGGAAGGCAGGTCTAAAAAGCTCTTCTGTGCAAACAGACGTAAAAGTGGAAATAAATTCAAACAGCTGAAATACATTCAAACAATTTGGTGGAGAAATCAACCACTGTATTTGTTCTATTAAAGTCGATTTTACTTCACTCGCTTTAATTATAGTTTTCCTGTGATAATTGTGTGTGTGTGTGTCTGAGGTGTTTTAATATAATGTAATTGGCAATGTTCCAGAAGTGCATATTCGTTCAAATTTCCTTTCACACCTTCTATTAAAAGATAGTTTCGAAATCCGGTAAATTTACCAGGAACACAGTGTTTATAGTATAATTCAAATGCATCGATTAATTCTTGTGTATCTGGTTAAATGATTTTTTTGGAGATTCTTATTGTGGTTTTAAATCTGGTGCATTCGGGATTTCTAACTGGAGTTTGTTGTCTTTAAACGTGAAAAAACAGTTGTTCAGAAAAGTCCAAGATCCAAGACTAGTTAGTGGTGTCTATACAAATACAAATTTAAATATCGATTTAAAATATTTCTATATTCCTCCTCTGGTCTGTGTGGTAAGGAGCTACTCTGTAGATTAGTTTCGGTAAGAGACTGTGATGAATTTGACTTTTCATTGCCAGCTCCAGTTAGCTCGGAACTAAACGGAACAGTATTATTTACAGTTAGTTCCCAAACTAAACACAATAGTATAATTTAACCTTTCCAAGCTCTCGTAAATTTTTACTGCTGTGAAACACAGCGATGCAAATGAATATGCTCATAGTTACTGACTTAATAACATGCCTGTGGCTCCTGAAACAATAACTCCTTATGAAATATAATAAATATATATTTAAATACAGTATACCGCAACTGCTATTTTGCTTTTTTATTACTTCAATTACTGTATAATTTTATGTGAAGGTCTCCGATCACAAGGTTTTTGCTGGGAACACGAACCACTGATGGGATGATTAATTATGATATAAAATAGTCCGCTTAAAAAGGGTAATAATACAAAATCTGATCTTTTAATCTCAGTTGGCCACAATTAAAACAAACTTTATAGTATAACTCAAATATCCCTTTGCATAAAAACATATGGCTTTGCTATAAAAATTATGACTGGAAAACACTGACCCATTAATAGCCTGCGGAGTGATTTATACTTTATTGTTCTGCTACCCTGCCATGTGACTCCGGCAACCAATGGGCTGACAGGCAGCCTTCAACTTATTAGGTGACTGTACTTCTTGCAAGGACCAAGTTGTTACATGAAATCTGCAGTTTCATAATTTCAGCAGGTCCTGCTCTGTGTTTGTTGAATGGCAATGTCGACTTCAGGGACGCTCAGCAATTATTATGTGGACTCTTTCATAATTCACGAGAGTGAAGACCTGGTGCAGTCCAGATATGCCTCTGCTCCACTGGCACCGCCAACGAGACAGCCAGCCCTGAGCGAGCACCCTGAATTCACCCCATGCAGTTTTCAGTCGAAAACTTCAGTCTTTAGCACTTCCTGGAACCCCGTTCACCCTCCGAGCGCTAATAATGTGCCCACTGTGTACCATCCATATGTGCATCATCAGGCACCAATGGCAGCGCCTGACGGCAGGTACATGCGTTCGTGGCTCGAGCCTATGCCGGGCTCATTGTCTTTCCCTGGGTTACCTTCCAGCAGGCATTACGGCATTAAACCTGAACCGCTCTCGGCCAGAAGGGGTGACTGTACCACGTTTGACACGCACACGTTGTCTCTGTCTGATTATGCTTGTGGTTCTCCTCCAGCTGATAGGGATAAGCAACCCAGCGAAGGTGCGTTCTCTGAAAACAATGGAGAAAATGAGACAAACGGAGAAAAACCACAGATTGATCCAAGTAAGTGCAACTGCAAGGGTAATGGACTTCAGGTCTCTGAGCAGGCTGCAGGGAGGTTAGCATCTTGGGCTAACTAAATGACTAGCAGTTGCCGTTGCTCGGGTGTAGTTCGATCTTAAAGGGAACTGTGCATGTCTAAACTCTTAAAACGTGAATTAGAATGCCTGAACGTCCAGGCACAACTCGGCCAGGCGTGGTTTCCCCGTGTACGTACTTTTGGGAAATCATTAGGAAGCATTGGCTTCTTTTGTCACGAGTATCTTGCAAGAAACAGCCCAGGGTAGGTTACTGTAAGGATGAAAACAGAAACCTCTTCATTTACTTCATTTTCTTGCTGTAAATCTAACGGAACAATAGGCTCAATGTTAATGCACAAAATAATGCGTATGCAAATAAGGCGAATAAGCAACGGAGGCTTAATTGAGCCAGCTGTATAGTGACTCGCTATCTCCTTGAAACCTTACAGTGGGGACACGGGAGAAGGTCAGAATTAAAAACTGAAACGTTTTCCCGGTGACATTCTAAGCCCACTAGTCCTCCCCGGGCGGTGAGGAGGAGGGACAGTCTATTTTAAAATCACATTCTATAAACAATATCAAGGCTAGAGTAGGCGGGGGCTGGGCTTTTACCGCGTGCGATTCTATGTGACCTCTCCATGTGTCTGTATTTTGATTCCATTGTGCCTAACCATCCTGTATGTCTGCTGAAATGAAAGGAATGTCGTAAACCCTAATATCAGGCTACCTACGCTTTTAAAGTCAGGGCACCAAACTGTGGTGCGACGTGGCTTCCTCCCTCCACTGAACTTCTCCTGCTCTTTTATTGTAGATAATCCTGCTGCAAATTGGCTGCACGCAAGATCCACTCGGAAAAAGCGTTGTCCGTACACCAAGCACCAAACGCTGGAACTGGAAAAGGAGTTTTTGTTCAATATGTATCTCACTAGGGACCGTAGATACGAAGTGGCGAGACTCCTTAATTTAACTGAGAGACAAGTGAAAATCTGGTTTCAAAACAGGAGGATGAAAATGAAGAAAATCAACAAAGACCGAGCAAAGGATGAATAATGAGGAAACACAGGTTACTTTTTTTTAAAGAAAATCCTCCCTCCCCCCGCTCCAACCCCACCACACAATGCGACTGTGCCCAGGCCTCGTTTTTTTGTCATGGCAAATTCTAATCGTTAATGTACCTTGTAACAGTAGCATTGAAATATCGGTTTGCCAGTGCTACTGCGGCGGTACCATAATACTTTTAATTTTATAATAGGAAAGAAAAAGGGGGCATTAGCACGGAAGGCTGTTTATGGGCTTGTATAATTCTACCTGTTCTTCACTTACAAAGAAACAAAACAAAACAAAAAAAAACTACCTTTTCGTAATGCACAACTATTTACGGACTGTAGAGTTTAGACTACGTAGTTAATTTAATTTGCCCTTTGCGCGGCAGAGAGAGGTCTGCTGTAATACTTGAACACTGTGTTTTATTGTGGTAATTATGTTTGTGACTCAACTTATGTGCTTGGGTGCTGTACCAGATGTGATTGTGAAAGCTAGAATTCAATTTGAACTCAGGTTGTTTATTATAAAAGTTGCATAGAGTATAGCTCTGTAGTGTAATAAGTCTTTTCTGTATAACTAGACAGTAAACCTTTGATTGTAATATCTATCTATCCCCAACCTATATATAGAGATATCTATATATATATACCAATTTAAACAAACAAAAACAATAATAAAAAAATCGCCGGAGTATCTAAGAATTATGGTTCTCAAACTATTACCAAGAAGGTCATTTTAGTACGAAAAGTTGATATATATAGTACTGTCTTTGTCAGCTGTATATATAATCTATATATTAAGGAAAAAGTAAATAATCAGACTAGCTTAAATATTGTTTTTGCACCAGTAAGCAGTTATCAGATTTCGGAGCTATACATATATGTGAAAAGGGTAACTACCTATGGTTTACGTTTTAATTTTAATCAAATAATTTGAAGCTTATTGTAATGAAGTTTAATTTTATTGATAATAAATTATACACTATAAAAAGCTACATTTGGTTATTGTAGATTTGTATCGAATATAAAAATCTGGGAAGTTGTGTTTATGCAGAACATACACTGTATATTTTGCAATAGTTACCTCATGGCCTACTGACCAAATTGTTGTGTTGAAATGATATTTAACTTTTTGCTAAATAAAATATATTGATTCTTTTATGTTTTGTGATGTTTTAACATTATTAAGAAGGCGCTCATCTGTATAACCCAACATAAAAACCAGTAGAAACTGCATGGTTAGAACAATTGTGGTAGGAATAGAAATTTATTTGATCCAGGTTAAATGCACAGATATATGAGTGCAAAACCTGTATAATAATATGTACTAATTTTCTTTGTTTAACCTACAGAGTGCATAAAAACACCCGGATACAATTATGTAATCCAGTGCTTAGAAACATAGTCAGGAAACCCTTTAAATACTATGGAGTGCATGCTTTGGAGTTAACGTATTTGAATAAAGTTTTTTTAAAAGAACAAGACGGAAATAGTCAAAACTTTTTAGAGGGACAACAATGTAAATAGATTAGACATCTTAATTTTAGTTGGCACTGTAAATTACCCCATTATAAAATGGGCATAGCTAAACTGGCTGCAAAAGGTTTGAGAAACCCTCGCTTTGCCAATATATTAATTTTATCCCCTTCCATATATAATGTAATGTGCAAAATATGTCATTTTAAAAAGTTTTGCAATCAGTTATTTTTCTTCTCCTTTATTTGCATCTGCAATTTTTCCTCTGAAGTGGCTTATGACACGTAAAATAAGCACATTGCGTTTTACTATCTCTAAGGGTAAAGGTTTACAGACAAGAAATGATATTATTATTATGAAGTCTACTTTGGTCGCTGTTTTAGTCCAACTGAGAAAATGTGCCTCGCAACAAGCTAGTGCAACGAAGCCAAATACATGAAAGAAGGTTTATTAAAGAAACTTTATTTCGGGTGAAAGTTATTTTTTTTCCAGCTGAGCAACAAAACCAAATAGCAAATATCGTGAGCCAGCTAAAGTTATCCCTGCTTTAGGCCGACATCTTACCGCCCAAAGAAGGAATCTTCCAAAATACGATCCAGAATGCACGTCTGCTCAAGACCAAGCAAACCATATTTGTAAATATGTAGAACAAATGCTTTGTGAGTGTATTATTTTTAAGACAAAAGTAGCCAGAACATTTATAGTCACAATTCTTGGCAGAAGATGTTGCTAGGAAAATTCAGAGCTATACAATGCAATAAAAGAAAATGACTGCTGTAACCGTTTATGGGGTGTAAAACGCTGCAGGGTTAAACACAAAATTTAGGGCGCTCGCAAGAAGCTTACAGAGGTGCAAAAGTGCGGAAGGAAAATCTTTCAGCCTCACTTCTTCTTCTTCTTCTTCTTTTTTTAAAAGAAATCTCTGGTAAGTTTTGATGGGTTATAATTAGTAAACGGGAAATAGTTTTGTTGCACACTCACACACAAAAAAAGACCCTAATTGATCCCTGTTCCAGTGTTTTGGGATGTTCGGGACGCCCTCTGTTGTTGCAGACAGAGGAAACTTCAAAGAATCAGCATTAAGGGTGTGTAATAAATGACGGGTCTGCAAACTGTCTGGAATTCGGCTCTTAATGAGTTTACAACTGTCCAGCCACAATTAAGATTTTCTACCAAAGCCTTTTCATTTGTTTTGTCTGGCTGTTTTAGATAAAGCGGGGGTGCGGAAATAACTACCTTTTATTAGCCTTCCTCTTCTGAAATCTAAGCTCGAAGGCGAACGTTTATCTTTAATGTATTTGTGACCGGAACATTTTGTATAATTGCTACTCTTTTGCCGAGCAGATTATTGAAGTATTCGCTGTCGGAGACGTAAACTGTTAGCAAACTGAAACGTTCTTGCATCATTTATTATTTGCAATGTCCCAAATAGAACAGCAGATGGCAGTATTATTCCATGAAAACATTCACAAACCCGCCATGAAGCATACTGCGAGAGCACTTGAAAGCTCCTAAAATGTCGACTTTATAGGAGAATAACTGGATTTGAAACAACTGATCTGATGTTAACCAAGGCCAACAGTTCTTACTCTGGGCTTATTATGAATGATGCTTCATTGAAAAATAATATAGTTAGTATTAGACTTGCTGTGCAGTAATTGAAAAGGTAAAGTTTCAGTCTCCGATTTTATCAGACGATTTATTTATTTTTAATTATCAAAGCATTAAAGCATTTCTAATTAGTTAACATAAACCGCTGACGCCTTTATACACTATTCAATTCCCTTTTCACCTTTCCTTTTTTCAAAAATATTAGCCATTTTATCATTAACCCATTAATGTACAAGCAAACTATTCTGATTTCATTCAGGGCTCATGAGCGCTTTAATATTTCGGAGAAGCGGGGATTGAAAAAGTATTAACATAATGATTCGAATGTCATGTAGCGTTCTGTGGACGGCGGTGGTGTTTTTCATAATCAAGTCCATAACGCGATTTCACAAGACGTGGGCTTTGTATGGGGAACGAACAAAGAGTCAAACTAACTCCCAAATTCCCAAATTGCGTCTGATGAAGTGGGCATTCACCCACGAAAGCTTATGCTCTAATACTTCTGTTAGTCTTAAAGGTGCCACAGGACCCTCTGTTGCTTTTTACAGATTCAGACTAACTCTGTTACTTAATTCCCAAATGGAACTCTTCTTACTGAACATACGACCTAACCTTGTTCACTGAAGAAACGGCAAGGTTGCAAACTTTAATTTGAAAATTATTTACTGGCAACTGAAATTCTTCAACAGCTGTCTTTGATACAGTTAAAACACTGCTTGGGTTCCTAGCAATTTCAGCTCTGTGGGACCCGTTTAATTATATCATACAGATGCTAACCGTCCGATGAGATGTCTCTACACATTCATTCTTAAATTCTCGTGCCTCTTATTTTTATTTCCCTCGTTAATTTTAGTATTTATCCGTTTTGGTTTTGTTGACTGCGTTGTTCCTCGCTAACTGCTTTCATGGCGCAGTTTAGTGGAATTATGTTATCTTTTGTCAAATCAGTCGTGAAAACGAGAGAAAAACTAACCGAAAGAGAAATAAAGACAGGAACCCTCTAAACATGGTCGAAGATATTAGTGTTATATCTTTCAAGTTAAAGAAAACAAAGAAAACGAACCGCGCCCTAGGAGTCATCTTACTTAACTATTTTGATATATTTGATTAATATTTCTTTAAATTAAAGGCAATTTCTTGAAACCAATTCTCAGAATGAGCAAGGGATGTGGGGATTATGTTATTTTTTCCACATCACTTTAAGTATGTTAGTATTTTTAGGGTAAAATATAATTGAAATAGAACCATCGCTTTCTCAGGTTTCTAATAAGCCTATTCATATCGAATGTCTGCATATATTCGTATTTTAAAATAATTATTTGATTAATTATTTTTCTTGAGCAGTTAAATTATACTGAAATGAACACGTGCGTATGTATTTCAAAGTAAGTAATAATTTGGCACGGTATGTCCCATTATCATATTGGATAAATTATAGTGGTAACATATTTTGAAACAACAGAGTAGTGTCCAGGGTCACAGTTACATCAAAATATTGCTTAACACACAACCGATAATCAGGCAGTGTTCCCAGGTTGCGTATAACTTCTGCGCACCATTTTATCACTACCTTTTCCATTCTGGGAAAAGCTCAGAATGCAATGAGACATAGACCGGGTCTTTATTAGTAAAAAAGAAATAAATTCTAAGTTTTTTTTAAAAACATAGGAGGCTATTGTGATAGCTGAAAGCTTGCGATTTACTTGTCCACTATTTTTTTTTCTTGAATGTAATAATTCACTCAAATGTAAAAGTTGCAATTTCAGAAATATGCTAAAGCACTATACCGTGCAGTATAGAATGCAGCAGATTGACATGTTTTAGAGTCTATTCCAGAGGTAGTATTTTAAGGAGGCTTTTGTCGAATAGGTGCGGGGGAAACACTTTCCTGGGACTCCTGATGTGTCTTATTCAGTGCGAACTTGGTGTGAAATATTAATATTGTTTACAAGAGGTGACATTGGAAAGATGAAAGGAAAACAATCAAAGGTGGCGGTATCCATGTTTAATATCCTGATTACTTTTAAATATGTTTTAAGAAGCGAGACACACTTAAATGTTCTTTTTAAGGCTCCTCTATAAACTCCTGTCTTGCATTATCAATACCCAAGTCTAGACATTGGTTATGTTTGCTGTTTCTTTCTTCTTGCATCTTGGTATGTTGTCACCAGAGGAGCAATTTATTGGTCTAATGCCGTCTAATTCAGCCTCTTTGATCTTCTTAGTAGTCTTCTTGGTTGCTTCGCATTCGTTTAACTTCTTGGGCCTTTATTTCTTTCCAGAAAGTCAGTTGGGATTGTGATTCTTCGTTTTTTGTAATTAACTGTAATGCTGAGTAATATTTCTGAAACAAAATAAAGAGGAAGCTGTTTATTCAGATGCTGGCTTTAGATTGCGAATAATAACCTGGTTTGTACATGTTTAGCTGTTGACAAATATCTAGATGTAGTCACAACGTTTGCATACTCTTAACCACAAATATCTAGATGACTTCGCTTTAGTCAATTTCACTTGTTTTTCTCCGTACCCTACATGGGATTGTTGCAATATTCGCATATAAACAGTCCTCAAGCGTTTTTTTTTTCCCTTAGGTTTTCAAAACGTGAACTCTAGGGTCCGTGCGAAATATCTCCAAGAACAATTTTAACTGGTGAGAAGTTCTTTGTACACAGGGCATTAAACTCTATAATTTAAAGGAGAATTTCCGGGGCAATTCCATTGTGCTTCTTCCAGTTTATGATGTGCAATATAGCAGGGCAGTAAAAGCTGTCTTTACCAGGACTCCCTGTCTGAGAGAAGGAAACCCATTTTATGATCCGTTTAAAGGAAGGGTACGGTGCAGCATCCTCAATGGAAAGTCATTCTTATTGTTGGAAAGCGGAGTGTTTAGAAAATGAGGAACGTTACCCGTGATCTAAATGTAATGTTGCTGTCTCCGTCTTCGGATAGTAAGGTATGTACATTGAAAGGCAAAGAATGCATCAAACAATTAGTTAAGATCTGAAGCCCTACATGTGTGACTCCAGGACTTATTGGTTTTTAAAAGGTGTTCAGACGAGAGGTATCCTCTTTTTGCTTCAAGGGAACGGGGGAAAGCGGAATTGTTCTGCTATTAGACGTAATGAATCCGTCAGGAATACAGTCGTAACAATACAGATTTAGCAACGGAGTATTATAAATAAAAAACGTGATCGATATATTAATTCACCTTTGAAATCGGAAGAGATGGACTAAGTTTCACACGCAAGGTTCGGTAATGTATGCGAGTCATTATTATAAGAGCCAAGGAGTATTAATATTCTTTCAGAACGGTTAGCTTCGTCCTTTGAGACATACTGGTTTGCAAAAGAGTTAAAAGCGGATTTCTGGAGCAACCCCATCCTGATCCATCTAGCCGAAAGCGATTAGCAGAATGTAATATAGCAATATCGTAATATATCTGTTAGCAAATTAGGGAATGCAATATATACTTATTTCACTACTGCAGAAAAATAATGCATGCGTGAGTAACAGAATTATTTAAACTTGTGTGTATGTGTGTGTGAGAGAGACACATGGTTTCAGTTTACTGCGGAGGCTTTTTAATGTGCAAGATGTGCTTTCCCCCCAAACACTAACTATTGATCAGCTGAGCACTGTAGCTTTTATTAAATAGAAAACCTTCCTACACATATTATAATATAGTCCAATGCTATGCGATCTCCACTTGGATAAAAAAAAAAACAGAAAGGAGAAGAAAAAAAAAGACAGAAAATGAGGAGTAAACTGAGAGGCAGGGAGCAATATGTGCGCAGCCATACCTTGTTTTTCTAAACCAATACAGCTCTAGAATAGAGAGATCTGCGTCGCACAACGTGCGGTTTAAGTTTCATAATACAACCAAATAAATCTCTGTTTATTTTACTTACTATACTTTATAGGGATCTTACAAAATATAATCTACCATGTGGCACCCTTAACCAAAAGCCCCCTTGTCTTTAATTTGTTAGACATATATTTGATCCTCTTCCCCTTCCATTATAGGATATTGTGAGACACCCTGATCCATACCACCTGTGATGCAGGAGGAGATTGGAGGATGGGGTCATATGACTGGTCACGTGCTGGAGGCAGCTCAGTCCAAAAGAAAATGGGGTTTGGTGTAAATCTGGGGGTGTAATGTTATCATATATCACGCTACCTCGTAAAACCGACACTGAAGCCTACCGGACAACAAATCACAAGTCAAAATTATGAGTTCTTCGTATTATGTGAACGCTCTTTTTAGCAAATATACGACGGGGGCTTCTCTTTTCCAAAATGCAGAGCCTACTTCTTGCTCCTTTGCAACCAACTCTCAGAGAAGCGGCTATGGACCAGGGGCTAGTGCTTTCACCTCCTCCATGCCTGGCTTGTACAATGTGAACAGTACCATATATCAAAACCCGTTCTCTTCCGGATACAGCCTGGGCTCAGATGCCTACAACCTGCATTGTTCCTCTTTTGATCAGAACATTCCCGTCCTCTGCAATGATCTAACCAAATCCAGCTGTGAGAAAGCGGAGGAAAGCAACCTGCACAGCCAGGCTGAGGCTAATTTCCGGATATACCCCTGGATGAGGTCTTCAGGTATGGGGAATGGAGAGGGCAAAGCTATGGCAGCCAGGCAAATGTGTAGCCGAAATTACTGTCAGCACAGCCTTTATGGTTTTAATTATAGCAGAGGCGCCATTGCGTAGAAAGCCCGTGGCATTGTATGTAAATGAGTATCATAAAACTTTTTATTGCTCAATTAATGGGTTCTATCCTCGTAAATTTATTTAAGTCAATTTGCTATGGAATTTTAGTATTACGTTTATTTGTGCGGGTTGATGTAGAAATATGGAGAGCTGGCTATGTACTCTGGGAGCCCACACGGGTAAGTGTTCCCCACCCCCACCCTCACCCCAACAAAATGTACAAAAATCATATGTGGCGGAAAACGCAGAGGAAAGAGAAAAAGAGGGGCTCTAAAGAAGGGAGGAGAGACTATTTCAGAGGGGCAGGGGTGCTCTAGCTCACTGTTAGTGTGAAATGTGTCATCTGCCTTTTCTGGGGATCAGGGTCTGTATACGTGCGTAAAAAGGAAAGAGATCTGGAAAATGTGAGCTCCGTTCTTGAGTCTAATGCTAGTATGTGTCTATAATCCGATAAAAAAAGACCTTGGAATGAATAAATAAATAAATAAATTGAAGTTTCAGACCCTGCCTTTCTTTTCCTTTGTGAAACACAAAAGTCTGGAGGACGCTGGAGAAACAGAGCCCGTTGTAAAGTCCATCCTTTAGGAAGTAAAATGTTTTTGTCTTTAATGTTTTCTCTCCACTTTGGTATATTTCAGAGAACTTAATTTGCCATGTTTGAGCTGGGCATGCTGTCTGAGAGAAATGCCTTTGTTAGGGGCGGGGGAATAAAGGAAGAGGATTTACTCCAGTTGCTTGGATGGCTGTTTGTAAATACCAACTTTCCATCGAACTGATTATCTTCAGGTTTCTAGCTAACTTCTGTGCCTGTTTGCCTGCTTTCAGGTCCAGATAGGAAGCGAGGTCGGCAGACGTACACCCGCTACCAGACGCTGGAGCTGGAGAAAGAATTCCACTTTAACCGCTATCTGACTCGCAGGCGGAGAATAGAGATCGCCCATGCTCTGTGCCTAACTGAAAGGCAGATCAAAATCTGGTTCCAAAACAGGAGGATGAAATGGAAGAAAGAGCATAAAGAAGAGAGCTCCAGCACTCCAGCGACCAACGAGAACACGTCAGCAACAGCGTCTGTGGAGAAAGTGGAAGAAGAGGAGGAAGAAGACGAGTAAAGCTCCCATTTGATGAAGCAATCTCTAGTATTATGTATGCACGTGACAGTTGTAAAAGCTCTCTTTAAAAAAAGACTTCTTGTTTTATTTTAAAAATTCTGTTCCCTTTAATGAACATCTTGAAACCGAGCATTTTCAAACATTAAAAGGTCCCCTGATTTGTCTTCCAGTCCCCACCTCCCCAAACCTCCCACATTTCCTGTCCAACTTATTTGGAATCTCTCATAAGATCATCCTAATCATTTTATTTTCGTTTGCCCAAATCTTGGTGTATTTTGTATGGTTACATTTGCGTGAGAGAACTGCTACTTGCACATGCAGAAAAACGTTAACTTCCAGCATAACTACCTGACTCAATTAGTCCCAATCAGTTGTTAAGGGGTAAGTGCATTAGGGTCACATAAAAAAACTACCTAATTTAGAATAAATAGTTCTGCACTTCCTGTTTCCTTTTATTTCAAAGGATCACAACAAACAGGCAACATTAAACAGCAAGTGAAAAAAATCCTGTAAAAATAATGAAACAGAAACCACTACATCCTGCAACAATTATTTGTACTACCTATTTTCCAGACTACCTATTTCTCGCTCCGCCTACCTATCTTCTAAACTATACTGTATTTTATTAATCAAAAGAAGATAACATACTAATGTGAATTGCAGAATGCTTTTAGAAACTTAAGTGTAGTCCTTTGAAAAGCAGGCATCAATAGCTTTGGTATACAATTTGGTACCGAAAATGCTGAATATATTTAAATTGAAAAAATAATATATTTATTCCAACGCAATTATAAATGAAAACCATATGCTGCAATATATCTTTCTTCTCAATCCTTTACTATTCCGAGTGAAGAAGAAAACACATACTAATATTGTACAAAGCGCTTTAATATCTTCTGTTGGCTTCTACCTTTTGAAGTACATTGTTATAGGCCGTTTTGTTTTCTAAGCTCATCCTACCTAATATAGCGGAAAATGTTCTTTAAAAAGTGAATTAAGACGACCAGGTTAGCGCCTCTCAAAAATCTTTTTGTCCTGATTTCAGAATGTGTTAATATGTAATACCGTGAATTTTCCTACAATAGAAAATACTGTATATTTAAACGAAATTTTTGTCATTTATATTGTCTTGAAATCATTTGTAAGATCACGTCATAAACTGGGAAGTCTGTAATTAAACTGGTAACTTTGTAGCATGGTGTATTGTTAAGAACTCTGTATAAATCCTTCATGAAGGTTTGGCTAAAGTTTATTCATAAATTGTATGTTACAATGTGTTTCGATGTGTTCATTGTGAACATTTGGATATCCGTGTCAGTATTGGCAGTGGAGAAAAAATGTAAGTGAGCTCTCTTTGGAAGTGATACCGTGTTCAAATATCTCCCACGATAAATGTTTTATGTTACACAGGAAATAAATATGCTTGTTGACAATGAATTGTGTTTCTTTATTAGGGAACAGTTCAAAAGAAGCATAAAATTTACAAGGCCAAATAAAGAATTTAGATCAAATATATCATTTTTATCCGCAATCAAAAACAAAAAATTCATAGGTGATGAATTGTTAGGAATCAGTCAATTTCTCTATCTAGATTTTTCACCTGAGTTGATTAATTAAGCAGAGATCATTCCTTAAACAAGAAGCTCCTATGTGCTTCAGTGAAATTTTTAAAATCACAGTAGACGAAACCTGCCTATACCCAGGCGGAAATCCGCGTTAGCGGAATAATATTTGATTATAGACGCAAACTGCAGTGCGAAAGTTCAAAATGTTGAAGATCAAGTCAGGTGTGTGTCTGCGTGTCAGTCATATTAGGGCAATAGGAAATATGTAAAATCAAGACAAATAACCTAACCGAACCGCCTATATTTAAAAATATTCTCTCTGCCCATTATTACAACCCGTAAAGCAGACACCGTATTTTAATATGGAATTTAAAAAGATCATGCATGAAATTCTCTTCAGAGGGCAAGAAAAATATAGATATAATGCTACCATCATCTGCAGAGTAGTTCCCTAGCTCTGCTGTGTTCAGTTACTGGTAAATGCACTAATTGCAATTTTAATAAAATTAGAACAAACTCTAGGTCTTTTAAAACTCCAGGTCTGCCTCCCTGGTAAGATGGCGCCTCTCTAAGACCTGCCTCTTCTTAGTGATGAGGAAAAGGCCATAAATCCGTTGTTGTTTATGAAAATTTACAACTTTGCAATACAACTTTATGAGTTGCTCGGTTTTTCCATTGGTCGCTGTCGGTCATGTGGATGGTAACCGTGAACATGAACTTTTTTATAATTTCCCTTGCGAGAATAGAGCTGCATTCTTTTGCTCAGCTCTGTCCTGCTTCGGATCTCTCTGGCTTTCAATCCCCCATTTCATTTGTTCTTTGTAAGGCAATAGTGAACAAAGTGTATGGAGGTTCAGCATAAGCAGCCGCCTAGAACACAGATCCTGGATGGCAATTTCCAATTCCTCCGCTGGAAGGTGTGGCATATTGGATTCAAAGCACTGGAGTGGCAGATTTTCAACTTGCAACCTGGCTAATTTCCTGCTTCTTCTGGCACCAAAAGGAGGGCGATTCGTCTCCTGTGCAGCCAAAGCGACAGCTGTCAAAGTAGCAGGGGCTCCTGCGAGCCAGAACCTAAAGGTGAGAAACGTATATAACACTACCATAAGCAGGGTAACATTATTTTAATACCCATATATACCTATATGGGACCCATCTATATATAACAGATATAGTAGACATGAATTGATACCAATTGAAGGATTATCAGTCGAATATTTAGCTTATTTATATTTAACCAGTGCATGCAAAAATACAAGCATTTGTTATTAGCAAGGCTGAGGTGTAATTTTAATAAAGGTATTTTTAAAAGATTTACTATCACATTCAGATTTGTATTATTATTATTTTAGAATTCAAATTTACAAAATCATATCGAGTTTCTTTGCCCAAGAAAATGTATTATTTTTGTTTCCCAGCATTAGCAAATTAATTTGTGTTAATTGCAACTTAGAATTTTTAAAAAAATACACTTACAATTTCAGAAAGAGACCAATCGGCATAATATCTTCTCATTCCGTAAAATTTCCAGGAGAGAGAAAGGATATCTCTGTAACAGCAGAATAGAGGAAATATGTGCATAGGTTGCTTTATCAAATGAATCATTGTATACAGTATAATTGTGTCACGTCATGTGTTGATCGGAGCTTGAACAATATTACAGACATTTTTCTAAATACGTAGTTTATGGATGAATATCTAAGGCTCGATTTTAAGCAATCAGTCCTACATCAGATTCTGAAATGAAGCTTTTTCGATGTCAATTGAAGAAAATAAGAGGTACTGTGTCAATTTAATTATGATTTTGAAAAAAATGGAACACGGGTTGTGTGTGTGGGGGGGACGGGACGGAAACAGATCTGGACATGGATTATTTTAGTAAGGTATTGGCATCATAACGTGTCTTTCACCGAGCTGGCGTTGCTTCCTATGTTTGTGTTCTGGAAACCGCGGCATTGGTTCAGGGTTCTGCTTCTGTAATATCTTTATATTCATTACAGTAATTAAGAATGAGCTGTGAGTGCTTTAGATGTTAACACCGGTGTTGTTTGTGTTCTCCGGGCTGATAAAGAATTACATTTGCATTGCATTGCAGTATCTGCTTGACTGCAACTGCAGTGAGTGTCGGATTATTTATGGCGGAGCGATAGACTCTCAGTGCTGCCACTGTGTGGCGGAAACCTGGCGATCCAAAGGCAGCAGCAAGTAAAAGGCTAATTGTCTGCAATCCTCTTGGAGAAATCCTAAAAATTCGGCCTACCTAGGGAAACCATTCAAACTCCACCAGGCATGGGCTATTTCTACAGGGCTGGGTTTTTTATATATTTTTTTAAAACTTTGATGTGTGTCGAATGTAAAATGTCCCAGTGCGAATTGGTTTGATGGGATAAGATTGAGGCTGCCCAGTGAGGTTACTAATACGAGTTCAATCTAAACAATGGTTTGGATTGCAAGAACTGTTTGGATTATAGGCTATTAGTTAAAGGTTGCTTTCTATTGCGCCTCTGAACATGAGAAGGATTTGTAAGTGGATTTAGATAGTATGTGAAGGAGGGAGGGTTAAACTCAAGAGGGTAACTGCCCCTGCACCTGTACTCTAGCGTTGTTTGAGTTATGGAGTCTGTTGACTGAAAGAAAGAAAGAAAGAAAGAAAGAAAGAAAGAAAAAATAACCCGCGTCTTGTTAAAGTGCTAATCACGTTTTTTTCAACTGTGTGCTGACATTTTTTCATAATTTAAAGAAAATGGGAGGAGCAGGACTGCTTACTTTATTACAGTTGCAGAAGTGCAGTGGGGAGCTTTTCAATATTCACTTTTCGAAGATAAGTGTTTATATAAAGCTGCTATTAAACCTATCTGGCTGGGAACGCTCACGGTAAAAGCTTTATGGTGGCAGGTTTTTTTATTTTTGTTTTTTTGAATAATGAATGTAACTGAAATCACGATTGCCATGCAAATTGTTTAGCTGTTACTACAAATGCTGTAACCATAACAAATGTGTACTTTCATTTATTTTGAGGTTTAGTGCGGCGGAAGCAACTGAGAAATGTTTTCATTTGTTATGCTGAGACATTAGAGATTTTGACTTTGGCTAGAACAAGAACCGCAAATTAAGATTCCTGGGCAAATCATTTCCCTCCCACCCCTTTAAACAAAGATAATATCAATCCGAAACCGACATAATAAAACTTAAATATTTATAAACCTCTCGTTTTTTTCGCGATGAATCCAGTGCATCTTCAAAGAAAAGACCTTCTGACCACAACTTTTTAAAAAGAAGTATGGACGTTGGATTTTTATATTCACCAAATCTTAATTTTCATGGCACGTTTCCGGTCTAGCCTCTGCTGAAAAATTTCACATTTTTAAAAACCTCATTTGTATTCATTATTTTTCCCCACACATAGTACAAATTCTTCAGGACAGGGATTCTTTTGAGTAGCTACACATCATGTTTAGCTGTTATCTCAATGCATATAATTTTTAGTCTACCAGATGTGTATATAGATTAGAGTCGGAGAAGAGAATAGGGGGAAAAATAAAAATGGAAGGTAATCAACATCTCAGTGTGAAAGTCCAGTGGAGAACGCTAACAATACCAACTATTGTGGAGAGATGTTTTAACTCACTACTGTTTTATAGGTACCGTAATCATCCTCCGGAAATGAGACACGGAACCTTCCAACAACAACAAAACTCACGTTTCCAAAGCTAGTTTAGGTGCTATAGGAAACAGAGTTAGTACAAACTCCAGCACGTTTAAAAATCGGCTGTTCAGTCTGTTGTCATAGTCACGTATTATGAGTAAACACAGCTTGGAAGGAATAATCTCCTTGTTATTTTTAGGAACTGCTGGAGTAGGCTGAATTAAAAGCCATTATGTGCATTTCATCAGCACTGCTACTGCTTCTGCCCTGGGCCAAGAATTGTATGTCCGTCCTGGGGTAACTGCCAAGTTGAACAGTACACGTTAAGACGTTTGTTAAAACATCAGTGAACACAAATGATTAGAAACAACAGCGAAACCGTTTTGCCTCTGCACACACGTTAGCGTGGCTATTTTCATTAGGTATAATTCTACCGCTACAATTTTAAAATCGTCGTTTCAGATACAGCAAAACACACTTTTTGGATGTAAAGAAAACAAACGTGTAACTTTCTCTGAACACATCTTTCCCGGGAGCTCTGGAAACCTGTTCCAACCTCTGCCAGCGACTCCCTTTGAAACACACATCTAAATAAATAAATAAATAAATAAACAAACAAACCTAGGAGGCCACCATTTCCTGTCCGAGCCATAATCTCCACTTTCATTATCTGAGTGTTCATTAATGCACGCGATTCCCTTCAATAAACAACGGAGAATATGGCTCAATCCGAACACAAAGGCTGGATTCTGAACTGGGGCGAAGAAGATGCTTGGTGCTCAAGCTCGGGAGGGAAATATTCTTTGGGAGCTTTCAGTATATTTAGTTGAATAACGTTATTTTCTTTGCACGGTGTTAAGAAAACAGATATTTGTTTACAAAGTCGGCCAGCTCAGATGCCATCGCTGATTCATTCCCCTGCCGCAGATTTTAATTGCTCCAAAGTTTTCAGTTCTAACATAAATCATTCTCTACCTTTCATATAGGAATATAGAAAGGACTGGGGTAGTCCAGCCCCCCGGGGTGGGGAGCGAGGGGGAGGGGAGTTCGCTGTGTGATGATTTGCATATCTTCCAGAGTGGAGATCCTAACTTTGGAGAGCTGCCCCTTTTTTCCCAGCTGCCACGGGGCACTGCCCCGGGGGCGCTCGCGGCCGCCGCTTGCCGCATTCTTTTACGCTTTGCAGTTTATTTTTTTACAGTAACACCCTCTAGTCCTTCCCCTCCCCCCAACATGTCCCACCTCCCACGTTCCCTTAGCCACGCTAAAGGTGGTGTGTGTGTGCGTGTTGCCATCCATCTGTCGGGTGTGCGGGCTCGGGGTTGTTTGTAACTTTGCTGGCTCGGTCGCTGCGGGTCCCAGGGGAGCGGGCTCCACGTTGCTCTCCCATTGGCCGCCGAGCCGTCAGCTGGTGCTATTTGCTGCTGTCGCTTTTGGCGCTCGGCCATCCAGAAACAAACCAGTTCGATGACTACTAATAGTTATAGCCAGATGTACTAATACACAACAAATCACAGTCCTGGAGAGGGGAGAGCAAATGAGTTCCTATTTTGTGAATCCCACTTTCCCTGGGAGCCTGCCTAATGGCCAGGACTCTTTCCTCGGGCAAATCCCCCTTTATCCAGCTGGCTATGATGCTCTGAGGCATTTCCCAGCTTCTTATGGGGCAACAAGCCTGCAGGACAAGACCTACACCTCACCTTGTTTTTACCAACAGTCCAACACGGTCATTACTTGCAATCGGGCATCCTATGAGTATGGAGCCTCGTGTTTTTATTCTGACAAGGACATAAGTAGCGCCTCTCCCTCCGGCAGTGGCAAGCAGAGGGGACACGGGGACTATCTGCACTTTTCTCCTGATCAACCATACAAATCCGACAGTGTGCAAAGCAAAATTTTAAATGAGGAAGGCAGCGACCGGAAGTACACGAGCCCTGTTTATCCCTGGATGCAGCGGATGAACTCCTGCGCTGGTAAGTCATTTGAATGCAATAAAGAGAGAGAGAGAGAGAGAGAGAGAGAGAGAGAGTGAAGTTTCTTTGAGAAAGACTTTCAGAAAGGGCGTCCAAACTGTCGGAGAGGAATGACTCCTGCGAGGTAATGTGTAACACGAAACCTTTCCAGGTTATTCCAGCCCTGGCACATTGGCAGCCTTAAAGCAGTTTAGGAACAATCTGCTCCAAACTTGGCTGACTTGGTGCAGTTCCTTAGTAATAACTGAAAAATAGGCATTCACAAATTACTAATAACCATCCCTCCTCGAAGAAACCTCTTCGCTCCTTCAGTGTCAAAGACTGATGTAAGGAACATGCTCCCTGTACTGCCTACCCCCATTTATTTGTAGGACCCACCCAAGCCCATTAGTATACAAATATTGATTATCGAAAGCACGTTTTCGGACAATGTGTGCACATTTACAAATCACCTCGAATTTTGTCTCACTTAAAGTGAAGTTTACACAACAGGACTGTTTGGGATGGGAGCAAATGGCACGTGTTTGAATAAGCACACTGCCTTGTTTACTTCAACTGTTTCAAAAAATAAAATCTCCCCTTACCTTCCCCCGGGTTATCTCTTGAAAGGTAGGATTATGACTTATATTTATTTGAAAAGTTTAACTTTTAAAGACATTTCTTATTTTGAAGAGCCCTTTTGCGTTTAAATGCACCATATCCAGGAGCAAATGCCAGGGGCTGTTCTAGGAACTTTAGCTGCTTCTATGAGCTTTAATTATGATCATACTTAATTATAGTTCTGCTATAGTTATAGTAACTATTATAGTTGTATACATACGCACACATATTTGTATATCTCACACACAAGTATGTATATATAAAAGTTTTAAATATTTCTCGTTCATTGGGTAAATGCTTGTCCCAATACATATCTGTGTATCAGAATTATACCTTCAAATATGATAATGATGCTCTTCATCATTTAGAAATGTTTAATCAAGAAAACTTCTGAAAATCAGAGTAGACACCCCTTATGTGATTGCCTCTGCAAGAGGAGGTGCAATGCAACTGACCACTATTTCTTAACTTGAAATCATTGGGCCTTGTTCAATGCGACAATTTTGTCTTTACTTTTACAGGTACAGTGTATGGAACACATGGGAGACGGGGGAGGCAAACTTACACCAGATACCAAACGCTAGAGTTAGAAAAGGAATTTCATTTTAACAGATACTTAACCAGAAGACGACGGATTGAGATTGCAAACGCTCTCTGCCTTACTGAACGACAAATTAAAATATGGTTTCAAAACAGGCGAATGAAATGGAAAAAGGAAAACAAACTCATACATTCCACACAGCCCAGCGGCGAAGAAACAGAGGAAAAGTCAGGGGAGTAGAGTAATGCTTAATAAAAGTTACCAGGCCTTTTCCCTTTTAGCGTTTTTTTTCTTGTGTTCCTTCTGCTACTAAAATCCTATAGGTTTTTCACAGTCTGTTGACTCCCAAAGGCTTGATTAAAATATATACATTTGCAATCAACTGTGAATTTATTTAAAAATAGAAGTATTTGATTTAGAGCTATGTAGTGTATATGGTCACCTTTTCAAAGCCTAGATAGCCTTGCTTAAAGTAATTCAGAAAAAAACTAGATTATAATTATAAATATTTTAAATTGAGCATCTATGTCTGTATGAATGTCTCTGATACGACCGTATGGCTGTAGGCAACAGATAAGTGAGTAGATTTTTGTAATTGGAAACGTTCATATTGTGGAATGACGCCTGATTTAGAAAATCCTGGTTTGATGTCTTTACTAATCCTGGGCGTCTTGTTCTACTGTGTTTGGGATTTTAGGGTCTCTAGAAAAAAAAGTTTTACACGTGTATAAGAGATTTAATTAGCACAGAGAAGGTAACGGCATTTTAAAAAAATCGATTTACAAATCCCGACTATTAACTTCCATTAAAATCGAGGATGAATCGCAGGGAGATTTTAAAATGCCCAGAGCTGATTCCACTAAACTGAACAAAATCTGCGCTAGTATTAAAGAAAAAACTATGCGTTAAACTTTACAACGGGGAAAGAAAAGGTTTTGAGGCGGGCAGATTTCTGCGGCTCCTGATGTGGCGCTGATAGTAAAGAAAGCTTTCATTGAGCAACGAGAGGGTTTTAATCATGCAGTACGATTGTGCTAGTTTCAAAAAATTAAAAATCAATGGTCTGTAATGTTAAATCGTGGCTCTTCTTTCTATCTTTATTTACTTTCGAAATTCCTAGCACAGAAGACTAAATAGATAATAGATAGAAACTAGCTTCTAAATTGATTCCAAATAGAGTTCTCTTTCACTGAGTAAAATACATGCAGTCAAAATATTTACTAATAGATACGTATATGTGTGTGTGAATGTGCGTACAGTACACACAAAGACCCCTTTATTCGGAAGGAGAAGCAATTTGGGCTACCGCTCTGAATAGTCCCAAATCGCGAAAATATTAATGTCAAATGACCGCCACAACATTATATTTATCTGAGAAAAAGTCGCCGACCATAAAATTATATAGAATTTGACCCCAGTTGGAAAACTACTATACGATATTTATTTTTAATAGGTACCTGCCTTTTAAAATCGGCAGTACAGCTTTTCTTAAGCGCCTGCAAAACAGGACTGTAATTGTTGCCAGTGTGTGAGGATTTATATTTTTCAATAGGTTTAAATAAGCATCACTCTAAAAAGAGATCGAAGTTATTTCTGTATTTAAAAATCTATAGCAGAACAGAAGAGGAAGGAATTAAAGAATAAAAGAAAGCTATTGAAAATAAAAGCAAATGTTTTCCCCAAACTCCTGCATTATTGCTGGTTTTGTGATTTGCAGCCGATAGCCCGTTACAATTGGTACATACTAATGGAACTGTGAGAGAAATGCAATAATTTTGCTATAATGGGCTGTAACCTCGAGTCGACCCCAGCCTTGCAGACCCTGGCTGGAAGCGTGAAGATCTAACTAGTCTCCAGAGGGTGGCGCAAGAGTCCGACTGACAATCAGGAGCTGGAAGCGGGAGCGCGCCTTGGGCGCGCGCGCCAACCCTCCAGCATCCACCCAACTCCCCCATTAGTGCACGAGTTTACCTCTAGAGGTCATCAGGCAGGATTTACGACTGGACAACAAAAGCACGTGATTTGAAGTCGTACCCCATATTTGGGTGCCTACGTAGGAGGGAACCAAGTACATGTCCCAGTCATTTCCATAATTCATCATAAATTGTGCAAGGGTGCTATAGACGCACAAAACGACCAAGAGCCACAAATCAAGCACACATATCAAAAAACAAATGAGCTCTTATTTTGTAAACTCATTTTGCGGTCGCTATCCAAATGGCCCGGACTACCAGTTACATAATTATGGAGATCATAGTTCCGTGAGCGAGCAATACAGGGATTCAGCGAGCATGCATTCCAGCAGGTACGGGTACGGCTACAATGGCATGGATCTCAGCGTTGGGCGCTCAGCTTCCAACCACTTTGGTGCCAATGAAAGATCTCGCAATTACCCAGCCACCACCACCTCTGCGTCGACAGAGCCCAGGTATAACCAACCTGCAACGTCTTCACATTCGCCTCCACCTGACCCTCTGCCCTGTACCGCCGTGGCCACTTCGCCTGTCAGCGACAGTCATCACGGGGTGAAAAACTCCATAGCTAACTCTACCAGCACTTCGTCCAATTCCAGCAGCAGCACTCACATAAGCAGAGAGGGGGTTGGCACGTCGTCTGGCACTGAGGATGACACCCCAGCAAGCAGCGACCAGGCAAGTGCCCAGAATGACCAAAGCACAGCTCAGCCTTCACAGCCCCAGATCTACCCCTGGATGCGAAAACTGCACATAAGTCATGGTAAAGCGTACCCTGCTTTTCTTTAAAGAGGCTTTAATGTAAAATGCGTGGTGGCTGGGTGGATGTGAGTGTGTAGCCTGATCAGACCCCTGTGCTTGCACGGTGGGGAACGACAGTTTCGTAGGCACGTTAAAAATGTAAATGTAGCAACTCTAACTCAACAAAGTCTGCACAACTCGGGGAGCAGAGATGTATCTGAAGTGGGAAAATGTGAATAGTGCTTGTCACGGTGTGTAATTTATTATGAGGACTGTCCAGCGGAACAGCGTTACTAATTATATATAAAAAAAAGAGTTTAGCAAAACAGTGAGTGAGGGTGGGAGTTTGCACTGGTAGGAAGTCAGAAAAAATCCTAAGGGTGAGGACCGAGGGGCATGGGAAGGCTATGTGGTTGCCTTCTGCTCTGTAATTAAAATATATATATATATATACCTTCCATGCCCCTTCTAATTATGAAACAGGAATGATTTTGTTAGTTACAAAGCATTCTAAAACTAAATCTCGTGACAGATCTGAATGCCCTTGCTTTGCTCTCCTATCTCTGAAATCCAATCTAGCCTCAGATCCACAGTGCATTGATCAGCTTAGCTCAGAATTCTGTTGGTTTACTCTTTTAAAAATGTCTACAGAAAAGGGGATACTTGTTGAGCATTTATCCAAAACAAAAACAGGACCAAGAATAACGGTACTACTGATGCTCTGGGCTGCTTTAGAAAATACAGGAGCAGGTCGCTGGGAGAGACTAAATCATTCACTTTTCTGTTACAGACAACATAGGGGGACCAGAAGGAAAAAGGGCTCGGACTGCTTATACCCGATATCAAACCCTGGAGCTGGAAAAAGAATTTCACTTCAATAGATACCTGACCCGCAGAAGAAGGATTGAAATAGCACATGCTCTTTGCCTCTCAGAGAGACAAATAAAGATCTGGTTCCAAAACAGGAGAATGAAATGGAAAAAGGATAATAAGCTGAAAAGCATGAGCATGGCAGCTGCAGGAGGGGCTTTTCGTCCTTAAGAAATTGATCAATTAAAAAGTACTGAGCAGTATTAGTTGACCCTGCGCATAATGTCAGTACTAAGTTGACTTTCTAAAACTTCCTTGTGTTACTTCTGTGAAGAAACCTTGTTCTTGTCGCCCTAATTCATCTTTTAATCATGAGCCTGTTTCTTACCATTATATCGCGTGTATAAGTAGATCTGCTTCCCCTACATTTCTTTGTCTTGAATGGCTTTGTCTTGAAAATTTAGATGTTTTAACTTATTTATATAAAGCGAGCTGTGTTACTTGAAGTAACTGTAAAAAAGAGAGAGAATCCCCCTCCTTTAGTACAAATGTTACGTGTTGCACTCAATTTGCTTAACTGTGCATGTGTGTTTAAGTGTTAATAACTGTATAGCTCCAAGCTGTTAAAATATTTTTATTCAAACTACCTATATAATTCTTGTGTAATTAATGCTGTTGTAGAGGTGAAATGATGAAATACAACTGAACTTGTCCTACGTGTAGTGAATAGTGAATCTGTGACGAAAACTGTGATTCCAAGCAGTATGTCCTTGCTGTGCCTTTGTATGACTCTTTGCACGAACTCCTAGAAGTGGCTCTTATTAAGCGCAGCATCAGTAATGTATGTTTTTGTGAACAAAGTTACAAATATAGTCAAAGTCTGGCTGTTTGAGCAAACTGTGATCAGCTTTTTTTTTTTTTTTTTGTATTTGTTTTTTAAAAAAACTGACTGGAAACAAACAGACAAAAATAAATAAATAAACTTTCTATTGTAAGTTTTCGTGATCTGATTTTGAAGCTGTACTTCCTGATTTGCTGATTTTTTTCTTAAACGGTGCAGATTTTTGTAACATTTTATCTGGATAGGACCTTATGCTACACTTTGCAAATGATACAAGTGCAATTATCCGACACCAATCCTTTTAATTGAAAGTTTGACCATAAGTTCCTCCTTAATGGTTTCTCGTTAGGTGGAAAGCTGCATTGCAGAACCACAATCAACACTCTCTGTGGGTGAATAAACTGGTAGCTGGTTGGTGATTGTTGAAAAACATGTGCTTTGTTAAAAGACACTCCCAACCCCAGAGCGTGTTTACCTTGCTATATAATTACTCGTGTGGTTTAATTAAGTATATTTGCAGGACAGCCACATCAGAGATCTTTGCGTCTATAAGCAACACCCTATAGCCACCTTCCCGCTTTTCACCCTTTAAAGATATTTGTTTTTTTCTCTACAATTAGTTTTCTATAAATGTAATGTTACTTACCCCATCAGAGCTTGAATGGTTAACTCTTCAGAGCTTCTAAGAGCAACTAGAGATTTGCACATTTACTGACTGGTTACACTGATGCCTTCCCTTAAAAGTTATAAAACAGTAAACTTTATAAGCCCCAGTTCCGGCTATATGACATTTGGGTGCCAAATGAATAGGGTTTTGTCTATGAATTAGATCGTAAAATCATCCATAGCACAGACAGATAGGCTCACTGGCTATAAAAAGTCACGTGGTGCCATTAAAGTAAGTTTTATGGTTTTGGGGAGTTGACATCCAACATTATATACCACATAACATATAATCTCGCTGACGCTGGACTTCATTTGACTCTTTTGCAGGCTACGTGTGCCTCCTGGTCATTCAAATTGTCAGTTTTAGGTACAGAAGTATCCAAATCACAAGTTCTCAGTGTTCTATGAAAAATGGCTCCTTACAAGTCAAGGTAAGTTTTATGCACAAGTTCCTTAAAGTTTATTTGTACAGTGGAGAACTGGACTCTTTCTGGCTCGATCCTTCCAGGACTGTCACATTGAATTCAGAAATGCAGAATAATCTACTAAGGATACAGGTTTCGTTGAAAAGTTTCCCCCTCTCTGATTCTAACATTCAGCAGCTAGCTCTATATTTTAACAATCAAATCAAAGTAAACCACAATAAGCGTCTTTGGCAGAGATGGATTTTAAGGCCTAACTTTAATTACTTTGACTACTGCAGAAGATAATTACTTCCTTTGCTCCATAGACTTTCCAGTTTGGAAAGGTTTTGTTTAGCAAAGAGTAGATACTGCAGCGAATTTTTTAAAGGGAATTACATGGGTTGATATTATTTGAGAAGTGTCTTATAGAGGCATGATAACCTGTAGGCATGCCGATGTGGTCGTAATCTTTGGATTGGAAAATATTTTGCACACCAAAGCAAGCATTAAAATGGCATAGATTGAATTTTCGTGTTTAGGATTCCTCTTTACTGCTCAGTGTTATATAGATAGCTATATCTATATGACTGTGTATCCATATGTGTATACGTGGTATGTGCGGTCACTCATAGCCACTTACAACTTTGTTATACCTTTTTCCAGAGACAGTATACATTTTTTGAATTTCGCTGTTTTTTTCTAAGGAAACACATTGACTGTAACTTGTAACGTTAATACAAGCTACTACAGGTCACAATGCTGTAAATTATGAAATACAAACCAGGTTATAGACAATTGTAAATAACCCCGTCTCTATATAGCTACAGATATTATTGGCTAGCAATTGTGAGGTAGGCCCCAGCTGCGTGTTTACTTCAACATTCTTTTTATTTAAGTAGACTATTCTCACCAGAGTGTGATTACTCAGCAGTAAACTTTATGGCCGGATTTAACTTTAGTCTTTGAATTTTCAGAGGCTGCATGAAAGGGCGAAAGAAACTTTCACTTTCTCTCCGTCTCTCTCCTTCTTTGTAGAACTAGAGCCAGATCCTGAAAATACTTACTCACAAGATCATTGCTTAGGTGAGTAGTCTCACTGAACCCATTAGGACTATTGGGGTGATGACTACTCAGTTGAATAAAGGTTTGAAGGATTAGGCCCAGAGAATGTAAATACAAATTTTGACATCTATCTATCTATCTATCTATCTATCTATCTATCTATCTATCTATCTATCTAAGGTTTGGTCATTTTGGAGTACACCAGACTCAACAGAGTTCTCTAAAACTGCAGTACAATGATGTTGTTTTTCCTGACATGTCATAAATTCGAGATTAAAGAAGAAAGGAGTTGTTTGTCACTAGATGATTTCTGGCTTTATTTTGTTAGATTCCTTTCTCTTTGAGTATTGTTAATTTTCGTAATATATGATAGCTGAAACTATTATTAAAATGGCAGAAAGGTGTTAGAGTTCAGGAGAATTATGAAGATTATTATTTGCACCTTTATAACATAATACCTCCGCAAGGTCTAAGAATGAAATAGAAAATTCATTCTACCTTTGTTTTATTTTTTTAAAATAATCAAGGGTATACATTGATAAAACACTATCATATATTCAAGGTTAACCCCTCGAGCTACTCCAAAAGATATGGTAGGTTTACAAACTTTTAATATTTTGAGTTCATTCCCAACATAAGATAAAAAAATTTAGATACTTTTGTGTTTTAGTATCTTTCTATGAACACTAGATAATGGCATTTGCTTATCATTCCTATAATAAAATGGAAAAGAGGTAGACTTTAAAAGTGCATTCTTTATTGCACTTTATAGCCAAAGTACAAACTAAAATAATTCCCATAACAAACAGCTGGCAGTTTCATGGTACACAAATATAACAGATTCAATATTAGGAATACAGCAAAGTTATATTTGATAGGAATACATTTAATTATATGTCATAATACCCAGGCAGTGTTTAATGGCAAAAATCATACATAGACTAGTTTAAAAGTTTTGACTTCTTTCATATATTGGTGGTTTTCTGAAGAAAAAGCCCTTATTTCTGCTATTTCATAGATTAAAACTAAAGATAATCGTTTGAATATCTCAGTTTCTTAGCTCCATTGTGAGAACTGGATATTCACCATAGGGCAAATGTACTTAAATTCTTTTTAAGGGACCTTAATGTCATCTGAGGTTGTGAATTGTCAGTGAAGGAAGTAAATAATTTGCTACCAACATGAAATTCTTTGAATTTTAGCTTCTTAAGCATGCTATATATGAGATACAGTGTGGACATGTTTGGGTATTGTGAAAATATCCCAATATTTACAGATACATTCAGTAAGGAACTACGAGACTCACTCTTGAGACACAAAATAAAGTTGATTGAAAAATTACTACAACTTTAAAGTATTTCTAGCCTTGAATCACCCTCTCAAAGTTATGACAGCTAGAATCCTTTTAAAACAGAAATGCGTTAAGATTTTATAATCCAGACTGGAACGGAAAACTCAGATACCTTCAAAATGCAAAACTCCAAAAACCTTTCACAGATCCTAACTGTCTTCTGAGGGGAAGTGGCTGGTTCCTTCGTAGAGAATGATCATTTGGAATCAAGATTTAGTTCTTTTCTGTGCATATTATTTTTCTACGGTATTTTTGGACTCAGTGCACCTGAGTTTATTTTACTGAAATCATCGCAAGTGGTGGTCTACTTGGTATTAAAATACAATTTACTAACTTCTCTGAAAGAAATACGTTAGTGTAGTGTGTCGTGTCTCAGCATAAGGCCAACTGAAGTTTAGGCAACCCGTTTGTGCGTATACCTAGTAATTTATAAGTCTTGACTTTCACTAAACTATAACATGTCTTGTGAAAGGCAAATAATTTTAGGTTGATAGATTTGTCCGAGCCCTACACACGTACTAATTATTAAACATAGCGAAATTACTATTCTCCCATTTCCTTACGTTTAGTAAGGGTGTGTCTGTAGAAGGGTGAGAATACAAATGTTTTCTGTCTGCTCTATGGGAAATTGACTGTAACAGATTCATATGGGCTGATCATGATTTTCGATTTCAAATCGTACGTACTGGAGGAATGTATTTTCCCGTCACAGCTAATACAGATATAATAAATTAAATACATAAATAAACCTTCTGACCAAGATAAGAAATCTCTTTCCCCCTTATCTTTTTCTCTCTTTTAGGCTTCAGATAGACACAATTCAGTGTCTGAGTTTTTATGAATAGTACAAAGATATGACTCCTACAGTAGCCTGCTTATATTTGAAAGTATTCTCCTTTATAAATGAAAGCATCCTCGCTAATATTTCTGAGGAAAACAAACACTCATGTACCATCTTAGTCATATGTATATATAGCTGCATATGTACACCATACCACATAAGACATACAGAATGTACAAGATTTGCAAAGGTTTCCCTTTACAGTGCACATACGGAATCTGTCCTATATCCAAAAAATGTCTTTTCAATAATAATATTTGTTATGAAGGTTATTGGGTAATTATTGCAATTTTGTGAAACAGTCCTTGCTTGAGGTGAAGTCTGTCTCTGGATAACAAATGGCAGCCCTTGCAGTTCACTGCCAGGTTAAGTAAATGCAGAAAAGATAAATCTGCACACCCTAGGAATCACCAGCAGAGCTCGCTTTAGACCAAGTTCACAGTCAACTCGTTTGCCTAGACAAGGCTTCACAAACAATTAGAGTTTCTTTATTTTTAAATAAAGGCGAAATGACTAAGTACTTAGCAACATATAGCTACATCTTTTCCCCAGTGCTATACAGTACGTTCTTTCCGACTCCATGTCCAGAACTTACCAGACTTTCACCTGCAATTGTAACCATATAGCGTCTTTCAGTTAATCTAGTCCCTCCAACGCTGGCGAAAGAGTTTGCAAACTGATTTAACAGCACTTTACAATGGTGAGAGATTTTTTAAAAAATCCAGTTTTCTCAAAACAAACAAACAACAACAAAAACCCAACAATAACAACAACACAAAAAACCCCCCACACTTAAAAAGCAGGGGGGAAACAGCAGAACCATTGAAACAAACAGTCCAAGTCCCTTGCTCCTAAAAGACGCTGCATAGCTTTTGTATATCTTTGTGGTTAGGGCGTTACAACTGCAGGTCAAAAAGTTGAGGGTCAAAAGTTTACGTTTTGCACCACTCTTAGTCATCCGCCCAGACAGAGTTTGATGTCAATGTTATAGTCGAGATCTTGACTATCAGCACAAAAGATAAAATAGCTTTGAGTTAAGCGTGTATCACAGTATGGACTCCAGGTGAACTCTAGTGGTTGAATGACCTCAATTACCGAGGAAAGGATAGAAAATTCCTCTTTTCAAGAGTAATACATGTTGTATTTCATCTTGAATTATCAGGCACATTTGAGTCTGAATATCTCTGGCTCAGATGCACCAGGTAAACATGAATGTTACTCCAGAACACCAAAACGCGTTCATAGCTGTATTCTTCAATACCATGGTCAGGTAACAAAATGTTTCACACTCCTTAATATAATAGCCTCCTTGAGAGGCTTAATGTAAAGACTTTTCACTTTTCAAAATGTCAGGAACTTAAGACATGAGCAGATCTATTAACATGTGTATCGATCCTAGCAGCGTCTTGTTTTTACTATAATTTCTGTAGTGAGC